TTATATATTCGGACTTTCTCTATCATCAGATGCGAAAACACGATGTAATCGTTGAAATGTACATTCTCATAATTTAGTGATGCAGGTTGAGTAAATGAAAATTGAAAACCCGTTCTTAATACTAGTTAATTTGAATATTCACAATGGATTCTTTGTAACAATAAGGTTGTTTCTGATTGAATTCTCGTATAACACTTTCACCCTTATAATCATGTGATACAGCTTTTTGGGAATCGGTTTTTGTAAAGAATACAACGTTCGGTGAGGACAGTTATTGCTATCGAATCTAGTAAAATACACTTGAATTGGCTGATAGTCATTCGACTATCATTATGCAAAAGTATCTCACGCACCCTATCTGACATTTCCCATTTCGCAATTTGATAATGCGTTGCATTCGGCTCCGACTTGGAGAAAAGCGGCCATGCAATCGCATTCCTTGACCAATAGCGTTGTCTAGCTTTTTCGGATTTCATAAAAGTCGAATGATCCATTGGTCGGTGATTCGAGCGAGCGTATTGACCCACTTTCTCGGAGCGATAGTCGGGTATACCTGAAAAATGAATGTATTCGATGGAATTTGATCAAAAATCCTTTGAGATGATGAAGTTGACTGTGGAAACATAGTGTTTATTTGTCGACAACATATCGTCGGACCTGATTATGAGTTCTTTTCAGGTGAGTTTTGAGTATTCTGAAATTTCGGAAAGTGATCAATCTGCAGACATTTTGAAAGCTTGTATGAGTGTGATCAAAGCTTGTATGGTTCGAGTATCGGCTGGTTAGTAGAATACTGATGGAGTAGTTGGTATTAAAGATTCGCTATAACGTGAATTAATACGGAACAGGTCATCACCAGATTCTGTCGAGATTCCAGCACCAGTCAGAACAAGGAATCGGTTGACGGACGCTAGAACATCGCGGAATCGTTGTAGAACGTCCACGGATGGTTTACTACATTGTGGTACGAAACGCAGTGATGACATCCCGTTTCACTCCTGAATTCAACTTTTCATTTGGCTCAAATTTCACAATTGAAACTACATGGTTTATGCACAATGCGGAAGACGAAAGACATATGATCACTTTAGATTCGGTTGAATTGTGTGCATCTGATAGGCTAAACACGAAGACCGAACCTACGATACTCTACCCGATATCTGGATAATTCAGTCGACTTATTCGCATGGATTTTCTTGCTGTACAAGT